AAGTTTATAAAATATGTTTTTAAGAATATATTTTATAAATAAAGTATACCTCATATTATTAATAAATTATTATTTTATTTAAAAAATACTTAATATAATTTAATTTTTCAGGCAAATTTGTCTGAAATATAGTTTAAAACATAATAAATTTTTTAAAATTTATTTTTTTTAAAATGTATATTATAAATTTCAAAAAAGATTTTTAGTAAAAGAAATAACTATATTTTAAATTTATTTTTTTAATACAAAATTTATAATCTAGCTTAAAGATCAATTATCTTCATTATTTTTTAATTTATTTGTTAATAAAATTTTATATTACTTTAATAGATTTTATAATTGTTGCTTTGTTAAATTTTAAAATCAACATTTAACTAAATATATATTAATAAATTTATTATTTAATTCAAATATATTATTTATAAAATTTATCTTAAATTTATATTATAATAACTTTACTATCTTTTAAAATAGTTATTACTTGCTAGATGATATTTACTCTTAAATTAGTAACATTTTATATAAAATAAGAAAACAAATATATAATTATTCTGTTATCAAATTTTATACCTTTTGAAATAAATAATTTAAATTTTCAAACTTTTTATTAAAGAAATTAAAAAACTTAAATAAAAGTTAACAATAACTTTAAATAAAATAATTTACTGAATAATAAAAAGCTTAGATGTTTTTATTACTAATTTGTCTCAAGAAAATATCGTTGCTAAAATTTTGTATTATAATATATATTAAGGTTGTTGCATTTGCAAAACATCTAAGAATCAATTAACAAATCTTTCATTTAATGTTTATTATTATAAACATTATCATCAACTAACAAATTATAAGTTTCAATTTATAAATTAATAAATTATAAAAGCTACAAAATTTGACTTTGTTCTCTATATAATTTATAGCTTTTTCCGAGATTATTGGATTCAATTTTGCATAATTTTTATTTATATATGCTACAAAATGTCTATAATATAGTTACTTAAAAAGTAACTTAGTTGCTTGATTGTATTTGCTTAATCTTGACATTGAATAGAGAAAATAATTTATTTATTTATTAGAATACTTTTAAAGTTTTTACACAATAGCTTTGCTTACCAAATTCAATTACTCATAAACATTCATTTATAATATCAGATCATTAGAAAATTTGCCAATGACTGGATCGACAAGTTACTGAGAAAAAAATCAATAAGTTAATGAATTAGAAATTATAGATTAGGTCATCATAAATTTTTTCTTTTTTAGTTAATGAGATCATTCTATAAGCTATGGACCGGTCTGGATCCAGTCCTCAATTTAGGAATGAAAACCGGTCGGACTGGTCCAAAAGACCAGTCCAGACCACAGTCTTTGCAGGACCGTAACATCCCTAATAAATGTCGTTTAACCAATTAAATTATGTGATAGTTTTATACCGGTTTAACTAATGAAGAACATGCCAAGCTCATTTTCTAAATGTCTCGTTTTGTATTTTCTATCTTAATGTTACATAATATAAATATCAGCTTATCTGCTTATCATCATGCATGGTTAATTGATGATTTGGTAATTACAAAATAATTAGTTTTGGAATGTACAACGACAATATTATTATTGCAATGCCGGTACGTAAACAACGAGTTGCTTCATCAAGTCCGTCATATGACTTCCCGGGTCCTTGGTGGCAGGTACAACTGCAGGTAGCGACAGTTCTTCAATTCTTCAAAGTTTTGAAAATCTTGACATGAGTTATCTCACGAGTTCGGTGACATATAGGGGCCACACGCCGTCCGATGATCTTCGTAGAATGATAACTCTGGCCATTAAGAGATGTGACAAATCCTAAGGACCTTCAGGATAGCGAAGGGAGGTGAAAAAAATAAAATAAAATAAAATAAAAAAAGTTGTACCTGCCTAAAAATGGTTAAAATAATCTTCAGACATCTGAAGTTACAACTTTAAGCGGGTGTCCATTTCAGTCGCAAATGTACACAAGTCGAAACGATGAGATTGTTTGTAGTATGGTAGTACTGAATAGTTGTGTTTGGGGATACAATGTCAACGAGTTGGAGGTGATTACGTTATTTATGCGGATCATTACCTAAAATAGATGATATTTTTATTGTGTTTATGATATTTTTATTGTGTTTATGCTATATAACGAAAACAATTGTTATGCGTAAAAAGGAATTGATATCTCTAAAAAATTATTTATTTATTTACAAAAATGGAATATACAATTAACATCGATTTTTAGAAGGTTCAACAGGTGTGTGTACGTACGTATGTACGTACATACATCTTTATTTTTATTACTGCATAAACATATAATATTTGTGATATACCTGTGGCCGAAATCTTTTTTCCATTTCGGACACATTGTGGACTCTAAAAGTAATGTCACCCACAAATTCAGCAAAAGTTTGTTTAGGCCTCAAATAATAATAAACTGACCTGTAACGATTCTAGTAGACTTCAGAAAGTTTCGACAGTATTAGCAATAATTTCGGCAAGGTCTTTTAAGTTTCGGACGGATATTATAGCTATTATCATTATTCCTGGGACGCCTTATGAAAAATTAACCTAATGATTATTCAGCCTGCCTCGATAAGTTATTGATTTCGGCATGCAGTGTAACGTTTATTATTTACAGAGGCCAGGTACGTAGGGTTTAATTTGGTTACTAAAATGACCTCTATTTACGATGCAGCAGTAACAATTATTAATTGATGATGACCAGATAACCAATATCAGAAGGGTAATAAGTTCAAACATTTGCTAAACACTTAGGTGTCAGCAGATCTTCAATAAGTTGAGTTCTCAAGCAATTTCAAAAATATGGATGTGTTGAAAGACTTCCGCCACTTGTAGAAAATGCGTTTACTAAATCTGAATAATATAAATATCTTAAGACTTTAATGGAAGGAAACACTGACTGGTATTTCTACAAGTTACAATCTGAGATGGAACTTTGTAAACAGAGGTCGTTTAAAGCCTTGTAGTACTTTGTATGTTCCATATTTTATAAATTTATTATGTGAAAACACTCTTGGCGCGATTTTTCCATTTTTAGGGGATCACTAAAGCCTTGTACCTACGTACGTACGCGGTTTAGCTTAGTGTTAGGATGAAGGCAGATAAACAAAATTTCATGCTTTTGATTAGTGATGAGTGATGAGTATGCGCATCATGCGCATGGGAATTTTCGGAACATGGGTTTTCGGAATATTTCGGTTCGCATTTAGGGTCGGATCTGTTCTGAGAAGACCGGTTCTTAACTGGTCTTCAGTTTTCAGTCTTTTGAACAGTTAAGACCGGTTAATAACCTATTAAAATAAACTTACAAACTATTAAAATAAGCTTTTAAATAGGTTTAAAAAAAACTATAGACTTTTAAATAGTAAAAAAATTAGATGACCTTTTATTTCGATAATAGCCAAAATTGATGAAAATAGTTTGACCGATAGGACCGATAGGTACTATTAGAATCAGTCTTATATATATATATGGTTTTTGAATTTATGTGGTGTTGGGTTCGGAAACTGTGACTCGGTCGCTCCACAATTCAAATCTCGTGTAACGTACGATAGGTAACCTTTACGAAAGCGGGTGTTAGATTTGGCTGGTGGCGATTAAGGCTTTCGGTTACTTTAGGTCAACGAATACAAGTAGGGTAAGTCACGTGATAAAGAACTCAAACGAATAACGAAGTTTATGGATTTTACAGGGCTTGTACTGGGTATAGAGTTAGTATTTTATTATAGATGATATAATGTATTGGGACTTGTAATTTAATAAAGCAAACGAAGCATACTGCTCCTAAGGGCCATTTCGGCCTTTATTTATAATACTAAATTCGTCGCTTACAAATGCGACTTTACACTTGTTATCTATTAAAACTAATTAAAGCTATTTACACGTATTTATTTAATATCCTTTATTTCCTCCCCTTATTCCCTATCTACCCCTTTGGATCAGAAATACCGTTTCCGATCATAAATGTAACTTATTGCACTTATTGCACTTATTGCATTTCGTGTATTTTTCACGTGATCTGTCACGATATTCCGGTTTCACAGTGTATTGTCTATATATTAAGCCAAAAGTTTAAACAAAACATATAGCAATAGTGACAACAATAATGCTTGCATAGTAATTAGACAACCTATTAGCATTATATTTCTTTGCCAGCATTATATAAGCATATATATATAAAAATCGTGCCCTAAGGTGATCTACACGTAATGTCACGTGGTACAAGACTTTAGTGGACCTCATTTTTAGTAACTTTTGAGTTATTTAGGTGTATCTCGAAGCCCTTACATACTATACAGCACTGCATACTATACAATACTATATAATAACAACCTACCAAATTAATATCTCATTGCTGAATTGCCATTTAATGTCAATAATATTTGTACAATTATATGACTCCCACACAAGAATCATTCGAAATGATATTCCTAAGGTTTTTGATTTGTACCCCGAGCATTATATGCAGTGCTCAAATTCTTATCTTTATTAATTGTATTGATGATTTTCAATATTTATGCATTTAGTAGAGATTAACGTTAATTCAAAGGTAATGGTAACGGTAACGATAATCTGTAAATCTTTTGTTACATTTTTTTTCAATTCTATTTCACACTTGTATTTCATCGCATTATCTTATGAGTTTATCCAGAAAAGTATTTCACTAGCATATAATATTATAAAGAAATTAGAATAGCGATAGTCTTTTTTATTTTTTGAAGATTTAATTTACTCTGCGAAACAATATTTGTGTGATCGTCAAGATCACAATCATATTTATACAGTTACTTATACAATACTTTACAATTATCATTTAAATAAGAGATCATAAAAACATAAAGCAAAAAAAAAAATGTATACATCAATTGAATCAAATTAATTATAAATAAATAACACAAAAATTGTCAAAAAAAAATATATATTATAAAAATCTAGAAAAAAAAATGAAATAATCTTGATTATTTTAAGAATTATGATCTATTATGATTAATTCTTGCCATTCTAGTTGTCCAACTTTCTGCACTCGAACTTAGTGTATCATCATCATTATCATAGTTATGAACAGAATCAGGTTCTCTAACTTCAACTTCTTCCAATTCATTAATACTATTTGTTATATTCAATTGATTTTTCTTAAGGACATCAACTTTCATTCTACCAAATGCAGTTTTCTTTACTATAAAAAGTATTACAAGTGCTGCAACTATTACTGCAAGAATTGTTCCAATTATTGCTGTTGAGTGAGGTGGCAACTTTATACCACCAATCGTGCCATCAGGAGGTGGTAAAGGTGAATTAGGTTGAATAGTGGCAACTGGTTGGTCGTTGTTTGGCATTGGACTTGCAATTTCGGTAGAGAGTGCCTCATCATTAAACATTGATGCTTGTGGTTTGGTGTTAACTCCTGTGGGTTGATTTGGTAGTGAATTATTTTGTTGTAATGTATTATTGGATGATAGTGTATTATTGTTAGATGGTAAATTATTAGATGGAAGCGTGTTATTATTAGATGGTGAGTTATTAGATTGTGATGAATTATTAGTTGTTTGATCGTTAATTTGTGAATTGTTAGGTGATGGATTGCTATTAGGTGGTTGATCGTTAGTTTGTGGATTGCTATTAGGTGGTGGATTGCTATTAGGTGGTGGATTGCTATTAGGTGGTGGATTGTTATTAGGAGGTGGACTGTTATTAGGAGGTGGACTGTTATTAGGTGGTGGATTGTTATTAGGTGGTGGATTGCTGGTAGGTGGTGGATTGTTATTAGGTGGTGGATTGCTGTTAGGTGGTGGATTGTTATTAGGTGGTGGATTGATGTTAGGTGGTGGATTGTTATTAGGTGGTGGATTGCTGTTAGGTGGTGGATTGTTATTAGGTGGTGGATTGCTGTTA